ATGAAAATGTACATAATGTTTCATGTAAATGTTTATGCAAAAATGAAGGGAAGAAAAGGTAACGGTGTGCTTTGCTTTTTAACCCTGTTTGAACTTTAGGGCAAATCATGGGAAGGAACTGTGGAAAATCGTGTACGTCAGGAAATCACCAGGGAGTTCACTGCTGGAGATACTAAATGTGAGGTCTGGCTGGTCATTTTCTTTAGATTCTAAAATATCCTTCTGGCAGCTCACCTTGAAGTAAAGATATATATATTATATTATTTTTTCTTTGTATTAAAAATATTTTTCTTATTTTTTATAAAATATGTAAAATTATATATTATATAATAACATTATATGTATATTATATAATATATATATTATAATATATATATATACTTTTAATACAAAATAAATACTCAAATTAATAACACCACTTGGAAAGAATGAAGACTTAATATTCTAAATATATAGGCTGGCACTTTGTTTGGCAGCCCCTTTGTAGCCTCCCTCCAGCTGCAGGTCATGGTTTTGTGTTCCTCCTCAACCTATCCCTCTACCTTTTTCTTGCAACAGTTTTTAGCACCTGGGGACAGAATATAGTAGGCTCTGTCAAACCAGTTATTCCTGCTGTGGTAGCTCTTTGGGCTTTGTGAAATTGCAGAGCTGAAGCTCTTCAGCACGGCTTTACTTCTTTTTCTGTTTCCCTTTCTCTCCCAATAAAGCTACACCTGTGAATTTCTGCCAGCTGTGCTTAACACGACCACTTGAACAAAACAAGACTTCTTTTTCAAACAAAAGCTTGTTGAGGGATATAGTTCTGCATCCATTTTTAAATATTTTGTTGTTGTTGTTTAAACAGAAAAGGGAAACAAAATATATTTTTTTAGAATAAGTATTAAGCTAGGATGAGAGATATCACTTTTCACAAAAAGCAGTAATGTCTAATTGTTCTGACATTCATTTATTCAGCAAATTTTAGGTATTTTAAAGTTTCTGGAAGTTCTTTCTCAAGTAATGTAACGAAAATATTTAATACTTTTAGAACATTTTGCATCTGCTATGAGTTACAGAGTAACTATATAGTGATATTAACTCTTTATGCCTATGCACCGAGTGTTATTGAGTACTCCTTGGCTCAGTCATATGTTATATGTGCCCCATTTAACTTGTATTCACTTTGTACATCTGAACATTTTCAGATGTACAAAGTGAATACAAGTTAAATGGGTACTTTCCATCACCCATGCATTTGGAGACCTCTAATGTTCAGATAATTCAACTGATGAATGGACACTTACCTGACGTTTTCCTTTAAAATATATGAAGTGCGAAAACCTTACACCCTTTAAAGTGGAACTGTCAAATGTTCCTGAGTCTTCCAGTTGGGGTGAAGATTTTTAAATGGGAAGGATTTACACGTTGCAGTGACCTTTATAGAATTTCTATGTGTAATACATGACAATTGTCATCAGAAAAAAAAAAAAAAAAAGAAGAAAAAAAAAGGAAGAAAAGAGCACTTGTCAACATTTTCAAATGTCAGACTTCAACTTACTTAAATCTTACAGATATACTCAGTCTTTTTGAAATAGCTGGAAAACAATCCTGTGAAGCAGTGTTGTGCTTTGTATTGTATTTGATGTCTAGAAGACATCTGTATGTTTGTGGAGTCACAACTCTGATTTAAATCAGGATAGAAAAGTGTGTAAAACTATTTATTACTTTTACAAGATCAAACAATGGGAAATAGGACTTCCTTCTGATAATACCAAATACTGGAACTACAGCTAGCAGACTGTCTTTTTCACACAATTCTACTCAACTACCATTTTAGATTTGCACTGAATACGCGTCATTTTCTGAAGACATATAATCTAAAGCCAGAAAATTAAAATTATACACAAATCCATCCAACTAAATCTGAATGCAATTTAAATGGAAAAGATATGCAAAAGGTTTTACGAGGAATGTTACTTAATACCTGAGAGTTAAGTATCACAGAATCACAGGACAGAACATTTCATTCATGGGGGAAAAATGCACTTCTTTCATGAATAATTCATATTATCTTCTCTTGAATAATTGCTATTATTTAAAGAGCTTTGGGTTTCTTTGTTGTTGCTTTTTTGGCAGGGGCAGGAGAATTGTGTTTGCTTATACTGTGAATATGTCTGTCTTGAATTTTATGGGTCTCAAATTTCCAGGTGTTGACTTTCAAAAGGTACACGCCATCAAATTAACAGTTTTTAATCTGTGTTCAATTACTTTTTTCCTGTTCAGTATGAATTAGCAAAACAGCTACCATTTCCAAATTGTAGAGTGGTGCAAATCTGTTTTCATTTCTAGTTTCTAACTGATCTATTCCCATCTTTAAGGGCTGCAGCAGCATATCTATTCCTTATAGAATCATAGAATCATAGAATATCTTGAGTTGGAAGGGACCCTTAAGGATCAAGTCCAACTCTTGACACCGCACAGGTCTACCCAAAAGTTCAGACCATGTGACTAAGTGCACAGTCGCAAGTTATTCATTTGACCTCTTTGCTCAGAATCTCCAATTTTTCTGAAATATTGACAGTAAAATACGTCTGTAATAAACTGCAGAGTTTAACATGAATGAATGCAACAGCATTTGTCTTATTGCCACATGGAGGGATAGGCTAACTTGAGAAAATAGAATGGAAGTCATGGAGAAGTGTTCTGCAGGTAGCAGAAGTGCTCAATGTAGAAGGCATTTCTGGAAGTTAGATTGCTTTATGTAGTTGTGAGCATTATTTCACCTTCTTCTATGCTTCCAAAACCTTTTTTTTTTTATTCCAAGAGAACTAATTAAAAAAAAAATACCAACATGAAAATAGCAAAATAAATAAATAAATAAATAAATGATTCCATACCAGAAATAACATGTCATAGAAACCAATGTTTTTATGTAAGGATATGAAATGCCTGTTAGGCAATTTTACTTAAAAATTACTAAGAAAAGGACATGGAGAACTATTCCTGTTTCTTGAGAGCTACTTAGAATCCAAAAACAAATATATTCTATACATATATAGAACAGTTATATAATACGAAGCAATTAGTACATGAATTAGAATAGAGTTTGAAAACACAGAACAATTGTAATACTTTTAGACAAATTTTATACAGAAAGAGCTTGTCAAGGAAATTTTTACTGGGTACAGTTTATTTTATATAACTGTGTTGTACTAATGAGCACCTACCCACAGTACTGATAAGTTGGTAATGATTCTAGATTTCAAGAATTTTCCTCCAGAAAAGTTATTCCAGCACTTACTTTCCAAAACTTTATTTCATTTCAAGACACCAGTGAGGGAGGGTTGGAAGAATCTTGATGTGAGAAGTTACCCTTCCTGAAAACCGTTTCTAATGAAAAACCTTCCTTTATTCGGGGGAATGAAAATTCCAAGAAAGGTGTTTGGAACAAGATGCCAAGTAAAATTGCTGCTAAGCATTTCAGAGAGGCATTCACAACTCACAGTAGAAATAGTACACAATCTGTGGTCTTTGTTCTTGTTCCAGACCTGTTGTGGTAAAAGTGGTTCAGGGACAGTTTTTGCTTATGGTAATGAGAGCTGCTGTGTTCTGTCAAGTGTTCTTTTTTTCCCCACTGGCTGCAAAATGGGATAACATTTAGAAAGCACTTACTCACTGAAGTGTTGCTTCATTCTCAAAAGGGACCTTACATTGCATTGACCTCAGAAGAGAAGTGGACTACTAAGAGTCAAAAATGCTTGAGCACTTTTGCAAATTTCAAACAAGACACCTGCTAGTTCTATGTATACTCTCAGTAATTTAAAAACTAAAGACTCAGAATGCCACAGTCTGTCTGGAGTCCTGCCTGTCACTGTGCTGCCTCTGGTCTTCTTGGTAGTATAGGTTATTATCAAATCTGACTAAATAGAAAAAAACGTAGCATTAAGTGGAAATTTTACACACGGTTCTAACATGACTTGCACCATATGCAGCAATACCAGCACACAGACATGATAGGCCATATTACTAGATTAAAAAAAAAAAATACTCCTTCCAGTCATGTCAACTTCAAAAAGTAAATGTGGCAAAGGGAGAACATCTGAAGATGTATGGTTACGTTCTGTGGTTTGGACTGGAGAGAAAAGTGGTGTGTATGGGGTAGGGAGTGTCAGGGTTTTCTGTCCTACTCACCTTCACTGACCCCTCCACAGCAGTGGAGGCCAGGCTAAAGCTTGCCTAACTAAAAATGGAATTAGGATTTTTAACTACTTTTTCTATGTCATGGGTGACATAGTTTGACTTCTTTGGTTGGAAATTGTAGGTTACTGATCAGGAACAAGGACAGTTGAATCACAGCAGATACCAGAATAAAATCTAAATAAAGTATTTCTCAGACCAACTAGGATAATAGCAAATACTATGTGCTTGTTATAGCAGCATAGTCAATCAACAGAGCAGCCAGTCTTTATTTTCATCGCAGACAACAGTCTTCATTGTTAGTCTAATTCTAATAATTTGTATTCTACACAGAGTTGGGAATGTAAATGGCCTTAAATTTAAGCAGCATTCAATAGCCAATCCTGGTTGTTCTACTCAGCCTGGCCTTTTGAACTGAGCAGTTTCATAGGGGAAATCTAGCTGAGGTGTTAGATATCCTTTCACGGATAAAGTTTATTCTTTAAGTAAACAATATCCCTAAAAGTACAAATCACTTTCTCAGTGCGGGGAGACTGCTGTAGACATCAGAAAATAAATTGGGTCACTCCCATCTCCCTAGCAGCATGTCTAGCTGTCTTTATACATCTTCCACTCAATTTCCTTATAAGCCCTGAAAATGCATATTCAGTGCAGTAATTTATCCTCAATGCTTCAGTGCAGAACAGCCTTAATTTGCCAATTAACACTTCACCACCCTCCAGCAGGGCCACCATCAGTTTCTTTACAACTATTAAAGCAGCAGTGGGGTTGTGCTTGCTTATTTCAGAGCTTGGTGCTGCTAAGGGGGTTACCTACAGGTGAAAGTCGTTTTCTTTACAAAGTTCTCACTTCCAGAGCATGAGAGTTGAAATACTGTGGTATCAGCTCAAGTGGTGTTTCACAGTCTTTACGGTTATGCAGGCTGGTGTTTCTCTCCTCTGATTTCTTTGTGGGTTTTTTGTTTGTTTGTTTGTTTGTTTTTTAAATAATGAAACAGCAAGGAGTGAGAAATGAATCTCTCAAGAAAACATGTAGTATAGCTCCTAAAGTACTAGCGACCAGAACTGGAAGGAAGATGTAATTTGAAAACTCATGATTATACTTAAATATTTTGTCTTATAATCAGGCACTTAATGACTCTCCTGCACATTAAACAAGTTATCAATCAAGCTGGGTACAGCTTAAAATTTGAAGTGTTTCACGTCCTGGCTGTAGAAAGCACAGTCTAGCATTTGGTCAGGCTTTAGCATGCAGCTCTTCAGTGTTGTAACCCTCTCTGATTTACTGTGCTGGTGTATCTTCAAAATAGTAAAACTGCATGTAATAAATGTCTATCAATGTGCACAACTCTTTAAAGCAATCGTGTGGTAATTCTAAGCAATCTTTTGTTACCTTATCAAATAGCTTACTTCAGTAGTCGAACTTAGAGAACAGGGGGAAGGCAATAAATGTGTCCCTTTCAGCTTTTAAGGTGATAATTTGCTCCAAATCATGCTTTGGATGTTGTATTTCAACCAATTTGGTTTCACAGAATTTGTCTGTAAGATACCAGGGCTGAAGTGTGATTCTTGGTAACAATATCTCTTAAAAATGAATTCATTTTCAATTTTCCCTTGACACTTTTTTATTTTAAGTTAGGAAATCTATTAACTTACTATCCAATATGTCCTGTCAAACAATGTGCGTTGAATTTTTATTATAAAGAAGAGCTATAATGTTCATAATTCTAAGTTTTATTGAGGGTAGATTTAATTCTTCTTTTGAGTTTTCTGATGCCTGCTTTTGTTTTCCAGCAGAATATGGGAAATGTTAGCTGTGAAGTCCTAATCAACTAATTGCTTTGGTCTTGCTAATTGCACTCAGCCTGATCTACAAAAGGAAGAGTCATTGGACTGTTTTCAGTGTTTCCTCTGGACAGGTATGAAATTAATATTGATTCCAAGTTTTTTGTTATCCTTTATGCCCTGGCACTAGAAGGAGTTGTTCTTGGATATTGTAAAGCTAAAGTAATAGAAAAGGAGTTTTTGTGAAACTGTTGGGGATCAATTTCTAACAGTTCTTTGATGTTATGTAGTAACTCAACCTGGAACAGAAATAAAGTGCTAGAGCAGAGGCTTGATCAAAGTTAGAGGGATAGTTTAGGTTTATAAAGAAACCTGATAATATTTTTAAGTTAATATTATAAAATCTTATCTACAGCTTGAGAATCCATTTAAAGTCAACACAAGTTTTGTTATTGACTGATTTGAATCAGGCACATACAGAAAATGCTGCAGGCTGGGGAAGGATCCCAGCTGTTAAGATTCCCTTAGAGTTAAACCTGTGTCATCACTGTGCCAGTCTGGGATGAGCCCCATCTGGGGCCCTTAGGAGCTGTGAGGAAGTACTCATGCCACGCTGTTTTACAGAGAACCTGGAGACAAAAGTGGTCTAGGTTGATCCTGTGGTTGTTAGATCCATTTTTACCTAAACTGAAAGCCCAAAACCATCTGTGGAAACAGGGCAGGGTAAATGGGAAGTCTGTGGCTTTCTCATACGCAGCTAAAGTGCTTATGGGGAGAGTGCAAAAGCGGTTGGCGGTTTGTGTGCTCCTGGAGATGAACACATAACCCAAACCCTCTTATTTTAGTTTTGCTCAAAGGCATTCAGAAGAAAATAAATGTCTTTGTTTTGTTTTGTTTTCTGTAATAAATGAATAAATTGAATGTTGCTACGTAATATACCAGATGGTCATATTCGTTGAAGAGGAAGCTTTTTCCATTAAAATATTATGCATAAGTGATGTATTATGTAGATATGAGAAGCTACTTTATAACTTCTTGCACTGTGGATTTCTTCTTAACCTCATCTATGATGGGTAAAAGACTGTAAACAGATGGAAAGACCTCTGCCAGTTCTGTCAAGACTATGAGGTTCGATTAGAGCCAATTGCGAGTTTTTTGCAAAGCATAGTACTTTTCATTGCAAGCCAGCTACGTCAGACTTCAGCTGAAATACATTTATGAGACAAATGCAAATCTGTCATTGTCCTCTGTGTCTGAGTGTTCACGTATACAGATGTTTGATTTCCAAATAACTTTAATTTTTGAAAACTACTTTATTTGAAACTATTTCAAATGTGTGTACAGGAATTAGTTGGAACTTCTATGCAGTGGAATAAAAAATAATCTTTAAAAATGAGCAGCACCTCTGTATTACACTTTCTTCTCTCCAGTTTTGGGCCATGTGTGTACTTAAGTAGATAATGCTTTACTTTAAGCTACTAGAATGTTATTAACTGATACTGTGAGAAACTTGCTGATGATCAGCTGTCATAAGAGACTGTAGGTCTACTCCTTAGTAGGTGTTTAGTGAGTTTGTAATTAAAAAAAAAAAAACATTTATTCTTCATATGCAATTTTGAAATGGACGTTGCTTTTTTTTGTAGTGTTATAAAACACACCATTTTTCTCTGTAGCGATTAATGCTGCTTCTTTATGCTTATGGTTTTAAGACCCTAATGTAAATGAACTATTACAATGAACTTCACCACTTACCATGAAGTTTCACAGTAGTGCAGTTCTTGATCTGATTGGGAACTGTATTTTAAGGTCATCCATGTGTGTTTTTTTTACTCTGCTTTCCCATCATTACTATGCTTCACTTGATGATTATGATTTCACCTAGTTCAAAAGAACACTTCACAAACAGGATAGCTTTATTTTATATGATAGTATTTTTCAGGCTTCTAAGTATAACTAAAGTCTGAAACAAAACCCAGGCTTAGCAGCTTCAGCTGTGCTGAGAGAAAATTCATTCTTCCTGGAAGATTTTTGTCTGTATTTATTTTCATCTCTAAACCAGCTGCTGTATTCCTGCAACAGTGAGAAAGCTTAGGAATTCAAATGTACGTCTTCTATCAGTGGCACTGCTGGAAGAAAAATCAGCCAAATGGGCAGGAACAGTGAGGCATACACCATGAGCATGCTGCTGAGCACAAGAGAGTAGGAAGAATATGAATAAGCAACAGTAAAACTCTTAGTATTTTTCTGGCACCATCCATTACTTAACATTTCTCTGATATTCTGCTACTGTAAATGAGCCTTCTGTAAAAAGTTTTTTCAGCATACAGAAATGGAAGTTTCAGTATTAGAAAATATATTGACTTATTTTGTGACATTTCTTATAAACCTTCTTTTAGAAAGATGTTCTTATTCTATTAGACAGTTTTTTCTTCTGTATCTGCCCTAAATGACTTGAAGACCGTGAGAAAGAGAGGGAGGGCTGGTAATTTTAGAAAGTCAGAAAAGTGGCTATGGAGTTGAAAAGGGCTGGCTATGGGGGAGGAGGGGTGGTGTCACTTCTTCCTTCAGGAAAAAGGTGTCATATTTGCTCATACTCCCATTTTCCTGGCAGGTAAAAGAATAGCAGTGGTGAAATTATACTTACATGGTCATCTCTGAATTCAAGCCTAAGCCAAACTGAAGCTACACTCAGTCTTCTCTTTGTTTAGCTCTTTTTCTTCTCTATTTGCATATATTCTTATTTTTTCTCATGAAACAATCTACACTAAACTATTGAATACAAGACTTTACAATATGCTTGAGTAATTAAAGACATATTGAAAATCATTTTACAGTAATCCAAAATCTAAGTTTGCATTTAGAGGCTCAAACCTGATGTGTTTTGTTTGGTTATGGTTTGGACTATTTAAAAGCTCTGCCTTCCTTTCAAAGGTTATTAGGAGGGTTTTTTGGCTACACCAGTATTTATTCTTTTGATTGCTCTTAATTTTTCTGTACTTCATGTTAATTTAAAAAATTGTCAATGGTTACTCAAAAAAGAATCATTTATTTTTGCTGGATAATCTTGATCTGTTCCAGAAGTAATGTTTCTTTTAGAATCAAATTTAACATGAAAAACAAAAGTTTAAAAGATTCAATAAAACGTACAGGAGCTTGACTCCTGGTTTCCTTCAACAGACTTTAAAAACTGAATTCCATTATAACTCAGCAATTGGATAAGTAAAGACATTGCTTTCTTTATTAGAAAAGTGTGTGCTTTTTATCTTTTCCTGTTTATTTTTTTTAGTTATGAGTGGCAGAAACTTATTTTAATGGAAGCTTGAAATTCTTTATATAGCCCGCTAATGACAAAAACATGATTGTTTTAGAGCAGTTGCATATTGTAAAACTTTTGAGGAAAAATCAACAGGATTGTTAATGCTACATGGTATTATCACAACATGAGAAAATGAATGTACTTATATATTGCTGAATTCTCAGAAGTTTATTGCAGTCATATCATTAATCCTCAATGTAAAGTGTAACTTAACATGTGATGCACGAAATTGTTTTTTATTTGAATAAAACATGCCCCATAAAGTTCAAACTGGTTGCATTCCTGATCTGGCCTACAACATCTGCTCTTGACCAAATGGATTCAGCTGACAATCTAGTATAACCTGATATAGTCCGAATACAAATCTGTCATTATATTGTTTCACTTAAGTTTATTCATTGCAGGAGAAAACACATCTATCATTAGGGTATGTTAGTATGTACCAATATCTTTTTGCTGCTTTGATCTATATTGAAGACACATAAGAAAAGTTTGATTTTTCAGGAGAGCTAGAGTCTTCATTGTTCTTCAAAAATTTTCAGTAAGCTAAAGATGTCTTGTTAAACCTGACAATTTTTTCCAATTGCTTAAACCAGAAGATTACAGCCTTTAATAATGACAGTATAGTTCATTTTTGTAATTATTACACCTATTTTTGTCTTCCTTCATCTGTGATGTTACCTAAAGGTAACTCAAAACAGATAACCAGTAATTTTAATCAGAACATTGTTTTCAACCATACAAAGCAGTAATTTGGATAAGAATCCATTCTATCTCCCATTTCTTGTTCCCGTGCTTTTTTTTTTTTCCAATAACAAATTCAATTTAAAGAAAAAAAAAAGTTTGACCTGTATATAGAACATCTGAGTAATTTTTTTCTTCCTAAGAGTTCCTTACAGCCAACCGAATATGAATATCAAGTACAACCTGAAAATTATCACAGTGAGTTAGAGTAATGGTACTTCTTGTCTCCAAAAACATCCTGTAGCAGATGCCTACTGCAGAGTTAAGAAAGGGCAGGCATGTATGATAATTCCTCTGATATCCCTTTTCTTGTATTTCCATCTATTCTCATGTTAGAAGATTTCCTGAGTTAGAAGTTTTTCCTGTCTACTTAGTAACCCATAACTTTTCCAAATACTTGACGAGTCTCCCTTGTTGGCATTAAGGAGTACAGATATGCTGCCTGTGCTGTGAGAATTCTCTCTGCTACTAAAAGCACTGAAAACTGAAAAGTGTCACAAAACAGCAGCAAATTACTCTGATGCCAGCCTCATGGCATCAGAGTAGCCTTTTTAATTTCATTGAATATGCCAGGTCAACAGACATGTATGGCAGTAACAGTTCTTTAAAACCCATGAAGGATGCTAGGTAGCTAAATTTTCTTTCATGCATCCAGATGCTCAGACAATCAAGTTGGGTGCTTGGGTTGCTTTTCCCCCTTTATGAGAGAGTCTTTTTCTATTAATTAGAAAGCTTTCATTATGAAATTAAAAACTGTGGTCTTCAAATGTCAGACTGCAAAGGTAAAAGTAACATTAAGCTAAAAACTCAAAGGGTTAAATCTTTTTCAGGAAGTATGTGTGCATTTTCAGACAGATTGAAACAGACATTTCCATAACTGTAATTTATGCAATTCTGAATCAGAATTTAGATTAAAACTTTGAAGTGTCTGCTACAAAGAGCTGTGATGTTAAAAACTCCAGTTCTTATTCTGTGCTCTTGCACATCAGACAAGATTTTTGATTGTAATGGGGTTTTCCTTCTTTAAGATATAAGAAAAAAGTGAATTGTAAAGATTTATGTGCTATGTCACAG